CCTAAATACTCTGTCAAGGCGGCGGTTTGAAATATTCTAAGCTACATAAGCTATAAGCTCATGCGTGCGACATGTATACGCATATACAAATACGCACACATACAGGTATATTCAAACGTGTAGACATGTAGAAACACGCACGTCACTCGCTACTAACTTAATTTTATCTCCAAGTAATAAATATAGCATAAAATATGCATATGTATATGAGCTGACAACTTTCGTTTAGGCTGAATGACGTGAGATATCTAAAATGTTACCATATACATACATAAATATGTAACATAACCATATTGTTACATATACATACTTACATATATATGTGTATATATACATAAATATGTTAAGTTGGTGTCTGCTGCCGCTTGTTGTTAGGCTAAGCTTAGCTCTTATACGGTGTATTAGAATATCGCTGCTCTTCTTATACGATATACCAGAGTATCGATGTGTCAAAGTATCGATACATATGAAGAAGCGATTAAAGGAAGACGAACAAAGCTGTGAATCTGCTTCGCGATTTTAACGCAAATTGTTATACGGTTATACCCTATTTACGCATTTTCAATGAGTTGAGGGTACAAATTTGCCAATAGGCAATGGCGAATTATATCGGGTGTTTAAATCGATGCTCGGTATTAGCGTCAATTTGTGTGATGTGTGCCAAATCGGTATATTATGTCATCCAGCAGAGCGGCCTTCGGCTGAATGGGACATCAGGAGCCAAAGCGTCGTAGTGGGTCAACTGCAGACATCAGCGCCATAACATTAACTGAGAATTGCAGCAAGACATTGTTGTTGAAAGCCATAAACACATTTCGCACAACCTCAGCCGTTTCAATTGGCAACTGCTGCCGCTTTTGGCTAGCGACAATGACAATGGAAGTCTCTGTTGTTGCTATTGCTGCTGCTGCTGCAAGGCAAGTGTTGCAAGTAATAATTCAAAGCCAAGCTGCTCAGTTCCTCCTCGAGCTTCGTGACAAGCCACATGAGTAACAGCGAAGGCGGTGGGTGATCACTGTAGCCGTTTGTCATAATTGGACGCGCGTGGAAGATGCGCTCGCAACTTCCTTGTTGGACTGGAAAACAAATTTTTCCTTTCTGTCAATGTGTGGCAAATGCCTCCAAGCTGACAAAAACTTGGCCAAACAAAGCGCAAGCACAAAAACACAAAATACAAATTTTTTCGTCTAACAACAACAACAAGACGCGTCGGCAGGTACAGTGGAAGTTGAAAAGGTATTTAAAGCCCAAAATGTATTACATTTTTACATTTTAATATAGTTCATGCATACAGCATAATTTATAATGTTTAATCAATAATTAATTGCAGTTTGATTTGCTTAAGCAATAATGAAAGTAGTTTCACAAATGTATAAATGTCCTGTGACAAAAAAAAAGTACCTTTTTGGTATTTTTTAAGTCACTAATTTAAAGAAAAATTTAGTACTTTATAATGATGTGGATCATACCCCATATATACGTATAGAAATTTAATTTCAATTTTCTCATTATTTTGTTAAAAATTCTGAAAAGTTTTTAAGTTTGCAAAATAAAAACTATTTCCTTATTAGTTACTTTAAATCATTTGCTAAGCAGCTTGTGAATGTCTGGCAACGTTTAAAATCTCATTTAACACAGGGAGCACACTTATCGCATTATATTAAAAATCTTATGGGAATTTAAGCTAATTGGCGTGGAAAACTCACTAAAATCAAGGCAGTGAGAGACCTTCGAGTCGATAAGCATCTATGATGCGAACCACTGTGCAACGCATACATACATATACATATGTATGTATATAGTTTTTGTTGCTGCTGCCACAAGCGGAACAACAGTTGGAAGAGTGTACAGAGAAATAAAAATCACAAAAAGGCGGCGCACGACAAAATGCACTCAAATGTTGCAGTTGCAACAGACAACACTAAATAAATGACATGAAAAGACGCTGCATGAATTAACATACGTGTTAATGAGCCAAACCACCAAGCCACACACAGGCCGAAAGATTCGCACGCACATAAAATAACTTCATTTACATTGAAGCTTCCTCGCAGGCAGCTAGGACGGTTGGACTGTTGGACACTATTCAATTGGATGGCATTCCGGCAGCCACTTGGCTTTTTGAATCGGAGTGAGTCCATGTGAAAGTCTTCGCCTGACGTAACGCGGTTGCATCTTCAAGCAGCGACACCTGTTGCTCGTCGCTGGAATTATTCGATTGCGCAAGTGGCCAATCCTCTCTTCCCTCTCCTTCTGCCCCCCTCTAACTCTCTATGTAACTGTCTATGTGTCTCTCTTTGTGCAGGAAGGTGGCACCCACACTTCCGCTTAAAGTGTGCCCAGAGCCTGGTCATCGAATTGCCCAATGATCAAACGGTGTTTAATTAGCAATATTTGTCAAGTGGCAGTCATAAAAAATATGTCTTGTCTTCGGTGTCTTCGGTGCATGGCAAGCGGCTTATAGATGAGGAAATTCGCGCATGTGCAGCTGCACAACATCAGCTACGCAAATTGGAATGCGAGACCTCTGACTGAGGCTTGGCTTCGTTTGCTTGGTCCATTGCGTAATGTCCATTTGGAGCCTGGTCTGAGCCACTGAGCCACTGAGCCGGTTTTTCGTCTGCATCTTTTGCAGGACAACGCCTCAATGGACAACACATAAAGCTCGTTCTGCATTTTTGTTGCCGTATCTCGGCGTCTGCTTCTGCTTTATGGCCGAGATTACAGCTGTCTGGGTTTGCCACAACAATTGCCATAAATATACAAATAATACTGGGGACGTTGCGAATCTGTGTCTTGATCCGTTGTTAACCTGTTCCACTGATCAACCTTGACGCACACGCATGAGTGAACCTTTTTCAGACGGCTCGCTAATCGCATGGATTACGATTTCATTTATCAAGTGGTAAATGGTCAAAAGTCATGTATCTCGACCACCTGCAGCTAGCATCTAAATCTGCAACGTAGCCAGGCAATTAATGCTGCATTTAATTGAAAATTGCGCTGACAAAACGACGCACCTAATTGGCTACGGCTCGAAATGGGATGATGCAACTGGTCAACCGGGGCAACAGTTTCAAGAAATCTGCTTTGGAGGCTGTAATTTCATTTACGCTCAATATGTGGGTCAACTGCACGCGAGTGGTAACAATACCATTACCATCAACACTCAACCCATGCGCACCTGCCCCATCGACAGCTTCAGTTTCGGCTTCGGCTTCGGTTTCGGCTTTGGTTTTGGTTTTTAGTGATGTGCGGTCATGTAACGAATTGGAGCAACTGAATGTGCCTCGAGCCACGCCAGCCGAGCCAAGCCAAGTCAAGCTATAAAAGCAATTACAAGCGCAATATGTCAAAGACGCTTACAATTGACGCTGACGACGGCGATGCCGATGACGTTGCAGGAAGAGGTCTTAACGAGAGTCAAAGTGGAATTTCACATTGGTGTCCAATTGGAATTAGCGTCTATTAAGGGGGAACGATTGAAGGCCAAAGCATGTTTGAATCGCTTTAATTTGTTTATGTTGTAACATTCCAGTTGAATGTTGGCCTGATCCACATGAAAACAAAGTCCATGAATGTTTAGAAATGGCTATAAAGCGCTTTTACTTCTCCTTCAAGGTAATTCCAATTGGAGTGTAATCGATTAAACAGATTGGGCAATGGTAGTTTATATACTCATTGGAATGTAAATGTGCTCTACATTTATGCTATATCATTTCATAGTTTCTAACGCTTTGGATACGCCTTGGATCATACTGAGAATCATTTAGGAAATGATAAAAATATTAGTCTAGAGGCGTGCCAGGTTTACGGCATACAAAAGTGTCTAGTATTATGAGCAATAAAAATACAAACTTGCTACTTTAACTACCATACCTACTTTAACATAGACATTCAAATAATTTCCCAAGCTTAAACGGCTGTAACGCAGTTTTATTTATGGGCAATTTTCTGACGATAAAAGTCCTTCAAGTGCTGCGGGCGCTCATTGAAAAAAGAGGGAATAAAACTAGTTCGACTTCTTATGCCAAGATGTTTGGCCATGCATATAACCTACATAAACGTCGAGATCAATAATAAGATGCCATTAATTATGCAATCAGCAGGGACTCCAGCAACAGCGAAAGGTGTTTTTCGGCGCCTGTAGCGCCTGCCTGCGTGCACGACATCGTCGCATCAAAGAAACTTCAGACGACTGTGTAACCAAAAATCAAAAGCAAAACAAAAACTGAAATGCAAACAAAAGTCGCTCCACAAGTCGCGTCACCGTATTGTTGCTGTTGCTCTTGCTGCTTTTGTTGTGCACGTTACAGGAATTTCAATTTCAATTTCATTTCATTTCTTTTGTGGCAGTGCAATTCGCAGCTGAAGCCGAAACAAAACTAAGTCAAGTGGCAACGGGACTGTGGGACTGGGTCTCCTCTGATTGGGCCTGGCTTGAGCCGAGCTACGCTTTGGCTCTCATTGTTGCTGACGTTGCACATTCTTCATTATTATCTGTTTCATTTTCCTTGATTTGTGTCGTGTATTTTTACCTAATTTCAAGTTTCGGTTTTTTTCGCCGTTTCTTTTCTCGTTGTCGCCGTCGCCGTTGCCGTTGTTGTTGGTGCTGCCAGCCAACAACAGTTGGTTTTGTCTGTTGTGTGCTTCTTTTCTTTCATTTTTGCATTGAAGGCCGCAACTGCAATTTCATGCATGCTCCACCATCTCCTGCCGCTGCTCCTTGGCTGATTTTCGCATGTGATGTAACCACGGTTGCTGCTGCTGCTGCTGCTGCTGCTGCTACCCCTGTTGATTGTTGTGCATATAATGCAAACTTTGTAGATATTGTGGACACTGTCAATTATAGTTTTTGCATATAACTTATGCGAATCCCAAGGAGATGCACATTGCACTTAGACACACCCGATCTGGCAACACTTGCCATTTGACGAAATGCTTCTGGCGAAAGCCGACCACACTTAGAATTCATTTTAACAAACTGTAAATTGCATACTGAAAGTGTTAATTGTGTATTTATTAAACTATATGGTGGCCATTTGTGTGATGTTTGGCTTGAGGGTCTGTCATAAAACGCGCACCTTATTACCATGCTAAAAAATGTTAAATGCCATTTAGTGCTAGACAAAGATGGCCCCCAGAGCCCAGAGCCAGAGCCACTGAAGCGGCGCAATAGCACCAACAATAGCGTGTTGTTGGTGTTACTGTTATTGCCCTCGTCATTGCTATACGTCTTCATGCTGCGTCCCGTTGCGAAGGTCAGCTTGTTGTTGCGTTTCTTAGTTTTGTTTACACAAACGCCTGTTGGCAGTTGTTGTTTTTGCTCTTTGCGAATCGCAGGCCAAAACCGAACTGTGCTAATTGTGTGTGTCACTGAAATGAAGTTAACCGAGTTAAACAGGTCGTCTGGAGTGCACGCACGTAGCTATTTAACCATTAAGTGTAGCAGCCGATAGCCAACAACCGCCCACAGCCCTATTTGACCTTATCGAGTATCGGTCAGCAGGTAATTAAATCTTGTGTACATCATTATTAATAACATAATTAGTAGTCTGTGAACGCGTCGACACATTCTACCTTCGGCCCCAAAACATCACATTTACGCTTGAGATCAGCCAACGCACACTTCAAAGAGTCCAAGACCAAGCGGTCAAATGTTGGAATATACGGCTGCTGCGATTGCTTTACCTTGGGAAAATCCGAGCAGTCTTCGTCAGTCCGAGACCAATTCATCAGGCGGCTTGGCTCGTCACGTCACACAACGAAAGATAAAACAAACAGACATTATGCGCTCTCTTTGAGCTTCGCGCTGCGCTCTACTCTCACTCACACTCTCACTCTCTTTTCGGCTCTTTCGCTTTCGTTGGCGCTGGCAGCGTCGCTGGCGTTGGCGTCGGCGTTAGCAGTTGCGTGCATTTTGCACATTGGGCGACAAACGAACGCTTTCAGCCGAGACTAAAGCTCAAGCTGAAGCTGTGACTGTGACTGGGGGAGCTTTGCAGCAGCAGCAGCGATTGCGGCTGCGGCGGCGGCTCGACCGTGTCCCCACACAGACATACACACACACACATATGACAGATAGGCACAGCAAAAGACCAAAGAGTCGCTGCTGGCGTCGCTGCTGCAGCGACCGCTTGCTGTTTATTGTTGTTGTTGCTGTTGGTATTTTGGGCAAATTGTTGCTGTTTTGCGCAGCTGCGCCGTCGACGCCGCTGCGTTTCTTTGGCGCTTCGCATTCAAAATATAAATAGATGTGCATGTAGGGAAATGCGAATAGTGTTCATAGAAGACCTCATCGGAGGCACATTTCAGCTCTTTTGTTTTAACGCGCTGTTGGTGGTACAGGGATTACAAGCATGAGATCCCTAAATTTGTTGGTTAGTGTGGCAAACCGATGCAGACAGATAAATGCAAAATTATTCCGTGTTGAAATATCCTATAAATAATCAATGAATTTCTGTGTGAAAAACATACATATATAAATACTGAATAATTATGAATCATCAAAATAATATATGCATCAAAATGTGCAAAAAGTGAAGAGCATCAAGTTGAAAAGTTATTTAATCGATTATCTGCGCTTCTCTGCCGCCCACAGCTACTCAGCGCCAGCTGCGCGCTTATCCTCAGCATAGCCTACGCACATCCGCCAGAGGGTGTGTGGAAGAAGAAGCTAACATGGAAGGAAGATTGGGTGCAGGTGTGGAAGACGATCAAAAAAGAGGCATGGGAAACCAAATGGAAAAAGGTTTCGGTGCCAATATGGAAGGAAGTGCAGGTAAGCTTAGCGGTTGACATCAGCACTGCGATCAGGATCAGAGCTAAAGCGGAAACCAAATGTTGAATAGGTGCCCGTTTGGAAAGAGGAGAAAGTGCCTGATTGGAAAATCATAAAGAAGCCAAAAATTGAGGAGCGCGAAGTGCCCGCATGGAAGGACGTCAAAGTGGCCGAATGGAAGAAAGTGACGAAACCCATTTGGGTGCCCACCAAGGTGGCCGTGTGGAAGGAAATTCAGGTGCCCGTCTGGAAGGAGATCCAAGTGCCCTTCTGGAAGGAGATCCAGGTGCCCGTGTGGAAGGAAGTACAGGTTGCAGACTGGAAGCAAATGTTCGAGCCACAATGGGTAAGAAAGAAGCTTAACGATTGCAATAAACAACAGCAAACATAAACCTCGATCATCCCAGGTGAAAATGGGCATACCTGGCGAAAAGTTCCTGGGCAAAGATCACGAGGGCTGGGAATACACCAGTCACGATCTGTGGCGCAAGAAGCTCATCTGGAAGCCAGTGTGGAAGAAGGTCTGGCGCACTGAAAAGAAACAGGAATGGCGCACCGAGAAGAAACAGGAATGGCGAACCGAAAAGGTACAAGAATGGAAGACAGAGAAAGTGCAGGAGTGGAAGGAAGACAAGAAACTCGAATGGAAGGATGAATGGGTGCAGGTGTGGAAGAACACCAAGAAGCAAATCTGGATCAAGGAGAAGCGCGAAACATGGGTAGAGGAGAAGGTACAGATCTGGCGCACTGAGAAGAAACAAGTCTGGGCCACCGAGAAGAAGCAGGCGTGGAAGGATGAATGGCAATCGGTGAAGGTGCCTGTCTGGAAGGAGGTCAAAGTGCAGGAGTGGAAAAAGGTCTGGAAGCCAGTGTGGGAAAAGGTTTGGGTGCCAATCAGCCACGGTCACGGCTGGGACTAAGTGACAGGCGCTCTCTTCACATCTCGCAAGTCTATGCGACAGCACTGATACATAACTAATAACTGCCCCACTCCTGGCTTCCATGGGCCAAAAGCAATTGTTCTTTGATTGCTTTTGGCTGCCGCAAATTGTTAATACTTAAGTCTAGCATTGGCATTACCTCATCCCGAATCGTTTGCATTTCTGTTGACACATTCCGTTTACTTCTCATTTCATCTGCCCTCTCTGCTTCACTTGTATCTATATCTTAAGTGTACGAATTAGTCATGCGCGCGTTTGTTGTCTCTAAGTTATGAGAATTGATAATTGGCCTTTTGGATTTGCCATTGAAATTCAACTTCAATGAAGAATGAAGCTCAAATATTGTAAAAAAAAAAAACATACACACAAATAATCGTTGAAGGTTTGTAAATATGTACCTTACCGAAACCCTTAAACATATATTGTTATGAACATCGTAAACTATTGTACAAAATTTCATGTAAAGCGAAAAACTTACAAAAAAAAAAAAAGAAATTATAAAAATAATAAAAAACATACGTAAAAAACCAACTGCGATATTTATCTTTAATTGTGTTAAGTACTTACTCGGAAGCCACCCAAGTGGTTCGCTTATGCGCTGTGCCTCTGCAGCATCGTCCTCCTTTTACTTTCATTGGCCTCTTCGCAGTCCATCGATTGCGCAAGAGCTCTGCCATCTCCGGTCACACTGCCATTAGCTGGTCATTAACTGGAGAAGAAGCAACTCATAAAGTTTCGGGCCTCATGACACGCGGAAGTTGGCCTCAGATAAGTCTCGCCATGCCCCACCTCATCTCATCTCGCCTCCCACCCTAACTGAAATGGGCAAGTTTTTCATTTGGGCTTTTTTTTGGCTTTTTGTATTATTATTTTTGTTTTTTGTGAGTTTTGCACGATTGGGGCAATCGAGAGGCCAAGAGCCAAAGCCAATGCATATGAACTTGCCGCAGAGGCGCTTACAATTGCAAATGCCACTGCAGCAGCCGCAGCCGCAACAGCAGCATCAGACAACGGGGTCTGTGTGCATCCGATGCTTATGCCAAATAAATCTCAAGGAAGCATCTCATCATCGGCCCGATAAGCAGCAACAATAACGCCTCACTTCCTGTTCAAGTTGAATGTTGAATGTTGAATGTTGAATGCGGCTGTGGCTGCAGCTGCGGGCTGCGGGCTGCGGCCTGCTAGCTGCTGGCTGCTGGCTTAGGGTTACGGCTGCAGCTCTCAGCTGAAGTCCAAGTCACTCGGTCGACTGTGTTGCAACATGTTGCTTTAATTGACTCGCTCGTTGACTTCGCGCTCTGTGTGTTTGTGTGCCAAAAAGATCTGCTGCCGACATCAGTTGTACACGTGACGCCCCTCTAGCACCTGCCCCCTGCCACCCACCTGCCCAGCTGCCCATATAGCCAGCCGCCTGGCTTACCTAGTTGCATGCAGGTCTATTTAGCAGCCAGCCAGACAGCAGCGGCAGCAGCCGTCGCCGAGGAAGCAACTTGTAACAGTTGCTGTTACCAAAACTGGATACCAGACGCTGCCACAATTGCAAAGATTAGGTAACATTTCGACAATAACAACAATTTGCAACTAAACCAAAAGTTCGAGTTCAAGAAAACATTTATGAGGAACGAGAGAGATGTTGTTGTTATTATGACTTCGATTGCTAACAAATTTACAGCTGCCCATAAAAGGCACGCCCATGTTTAGATAAGCCTGAACGATAAATGGGCGGCTTACTTATATCATAAATTTAGTGATATAATATCCTTAAAATGTATTCACTAGATATACAATAGAATAATAGAAGCAAGATTCCATTATGTGTATATATATATTTAAGATCAGCCCATCTGACTGTGTGCAAAAAATTCATTTAATTGAAGATATTGTCTCCAAAATCATCTGAGACACATTCCTACACATATTTCCTCGTAAAAAATTTTATTGTTTATATTCAAAAATCTCTTAAATTTTTGATGATGTGTTATCTTATCATAATTTAAACATAGCTCAGTTCCATTTAATTCAAGTGTCTGCTATGGTTGAGTGTTTGCCCAACTCGAGCTTTTCATTACTTGAAACAAGTCATCATCAATTATTGGGGAACAATTGGCAGTTGACATCATAATTAAGTCAATGGCATTGCTAACGAAAAGTGTTGCTCAAGGCTTGGCTTAAGACCTCATCAAGATCAAGACAATGTCAATGGAACTGTGCCATATGCACTCTCTGTCTCTGTCTTTCCCGCTCGGTTTTAAATATTTTTCCAACTGAAAACTGAAAAGCGAACGAGTTGCATTGTAAAAAGTTGCATTATGCAAAATGATAAAAAAATAGGTCTTGGGGTTTTTTTTTTTTTTAATTTTCTCGGTCTTTGTCTCGTTGTCAAATTGGTAAATGTTTTCGATTTAATTGATGCTGTCGCTGTTGCTGTTTAATGGTGCTGCTGTCGCTGCTTATACCTTGAGCGCAATCAACTTGCTTGTTGTTGCTTAGCCCTAGTCCGAGTGCCCGCTGAGCCGCTGGATCTGTGATCACAGCGACTGAAAGTGCGCGGCTAATCTCTCAATTGTATCGCCTACGCGCAGCATGCGGCGCACGCGGCGTATGCGTAATATTTTTTCATTCCTCCTTTTTTTGAATGATGCGCAAACAGTTTCAATCAGCAGCAAATTGCAACGAGCCGGCGGCGGCGGCGGCGTCGTTTTGTTTTTATATAATGCGCGCAAGTGTCATGCCAAATTCAAATTTTATTTTAATAGCAAAAACATAAACGAAACGAAAACCAGCCACGACAACAACAGCAACAACAACAACAGCAAGCAAACATTTTACGCATAAGTGAAGCAAGACGCAGGCAGGCAACTGTTGCTATTGTTGCTTTTGTTTTAAATGTTGCAGCAGCAGCGGCCTCTGAATTGCACAAGCAGCAGCAACAGCAGTAGCAGCAGCGGCAGCGGCAGCGGCAGTCGCACGAAAACAAAAACAAAACAAACAAACGGGCCTCAAACGTAAATTGAAAAGAAGTAATAAAAATAAATTTGATAAACAAAAAAGCAAAAAGACAGGCAAAGAAAGATAATAAAAGCAAAAAAAAATTATATACATATATATGTATATATATAAAATGTTATAATAATGCCAGAAATGTTTTTTTGTAATAAATCTTTTGTTTACACACATCATAAACAAAAGGAAAATGCCTGAAATATTTATTTATTTATGTTTCTCTTATATTTGTATTTAGCGGCAGCTCAGGTTCAAGACAAACACAAAAAGCAACAACGCAACAACAAAAACAACAACGACGATGACAGCAACAGTTGCTGTCGGCAGCACGTGAGTTGCAGTCGAAGCGTGAAGAAAAGGTTGTTGCACGCATCAGCTAGAGTTAATGCCACTGCTGCCAACACGGCTCGCCAACTTGATCTCTGCGCGCGCGATGTGGGTCAGCCCGGCTTCAGATGTGGAGCAGCAAGGTCGTTACCAAAACATTGTCAACGCATGCGCAGAAATGTGGCAACAGCAGAGCAAGTGCGCGCCACATCAGAGCCGTAACATGGGCGCAATGATAGTGTGGCAAGGAGAAATATTAATTAAAAGGCGGCCAAAAATTGCTTTGTCAACCATAGTCAGCTTACTCAAAACCCATAAATCTCGACAGCAGCAACAGCAGCGGCAGCAGCTATTAATAGACATGCTTGAAGAAAATCGCGAAATACAAAAGACTCAGGCAACAAACTTGTTTTGGTCACGCGATACGCAAAGGCGTTGAGAGGCAGTCGATGGGCAGCGAACGCGCCCAACGGTGAGCAAAACAAAAAGAGGTAATTAATAACAGTTAACAGTTGATATAGTTAGCATTTGTGTTGGCCATATGCCTTGAAATTCCTGCACAGCAAATGCTAACTGGCCTTTTCATATCTCGCTTTGAGGCTTGCAAATATTGAAAGATTCTAACTTTGCATTTGTAATGAGAAACAGATTCTTGGCTAGGTCTAAGTAAACCCCTCTCTCTAGGCCATGTTAATAATTGCCGATTGCAAAATGTGAATTGGTCAACGTTATAAATTTAGCTATCATTCATAAAACTTTAATTGTAGATACGCCACTCATTCAGTGATGCTGTGAAAACACCTCGTTGCAAACCACCTAAGATTATGGCCGGCTTAAAAATGTGCAAAAAAAAAAAAACAACCAACTAAATAATTGCGTTGCCCGGCTAACAATTGCACATTGTCTCGCCCACAGAGCCCACAGCTGAGCGAAGCTGCATAACACAAATTACAACATGCAAATATTGAAGAAACAAAAACAAAAAACTTAAATGAAATGAAAATATATGAAAAACAATAAAAACAACATTCAGTCAAACGTTTAAGCGACAAACCGGCTACTCGCCGCAGTGGAGTAGAAGTCGATGAGGAGGAGTGCAGCACAAAGCGGGAAAGCTAAGGAAGGCGCAGCTGGAGCAATGCATGACAAAGCTAGCGTCACATATTGGCCATTTAGCGTATCAGTCGAGAGCCGGCCAACTGCTAACTGGTTAATAATAATGCAGCTTGAGGAAGTCGTAAACAAACTGCAATTGCGTTGAAGCGCTGTAATAAATACACTCGCACCCCTCCCCGCCTCCCTTTCAGCCTAACTCCCTCCCTTAGAGACGAGCGTGGAGCTGGATCGATATGCGAAATGAGAGAGATAGGGAGAGAATAGAGACAGAAAAATAAAGAGGTCGAACAATGATACAATGATTGACAACGAATCTCAATTTGCATTTAATGAATAAAACTTTGGAGGAGCATGGGTGTAGCCAACAGCCGCTGCTCCAATTTCGCATAGAAATTCGCTGGACTTGTTTTGTTTTTTGTTTTTGCTTTATATAATGTGTAAGTAGATGTTTGTGTAAATATTTATATATAATAGATTTGCTAATGAATTTTGTTTCAGTTTATTTAAAACAATGAGAAAGGAGAGATGTGAGCTGCGACGGAATAGATCTGACAACGAAAAAAAAGGAATTTCACACGCGGAATTGGTTTGACAGTAGCTTATACATTTGTAGTTAAGTCAGTCAAGAAATACCTAAATTATGTTAAATATTTAAAAAAATAATAAAGATTGATAAGAAATCCTGTTTATCTGTGCATGTGTATATATGCAGTTGGTTATTTCAAGCCTAATGCACTAAGTTCTATAAAAATCCATCAAGATTTGGTCAAGTTAGAGCTATTAAAAAAACAAAACAAAAAAAATTGAGTTGCAAAAAAGGATATTCCAGGATTCATATCCTGGAAGGACTTATATTTTTAGTCTTCAAATAGCCAATACTATCGCTTCGCATTCAAAGAATTTGAAAATTCCACCAAAAATTTCACCACATTTTTTTGCAAGGGGTATGGTCGAAAACTGGTCAATGCACACTGTAACTTGGCCATTTGAAGGACTATCGGCACGTCCTTTATATACAATATAGTCTTAATCCTTCTAATGCATAGTTAGCAATCAGAAGGATAAAAGTCCTTCAATCAGCTGAGTAATAAGGACTTTTGCTCACGGAGATAATTGCGTATAGCTCGGCCGTATCCTTGCATATCCTGCCAAAATTGATGTCAACTGAAATGAGGTCACCAAATCTATCAGCTGGCAAAAATTCACTCGAATCGTCCTGGTAGGTTGCGGGATATTGACAATTTTGTGTGTTTTTACTGATTTTGTAGCTCCCGGCAGTCCATCCTGAAACTGAAGAAACACAAGTCCCTGATTCTTAGATGACCCCATATTTTGTTAATGGGAGTGCATGAAGAACGTCCTCACAAACCCAGTGCAGCATGTCCGATCGTCCTGCGCAAGGATTTGGCCGTGTTATGGCTAATAGAAAGGTGAACTATTATAATCTGCAAAAACACGATTTTGTTGCATACTCTGCGGGGCACCTGTTTCCGCATGAAGTAAACGAAAATTCGGCAAAATTGAAAAATGAAAATGCACATTCATTAATTGTGATATTTTTATTTTATTATACAGATTAATTATGATTGTCTATGAATACCAATAAGGTCCTCAAACAGATGTCCTTTCAACATTTTGGAAGGAGCTGAAATGATAATAAATTTATAGCATTAATAATGCGGCCTGAAAGTATGCTACATTAAGAAAACAGAGTAAAAGTATGCTACACTTTAATTTTGCTTGACATTTATCTGAGACTTGAACCTTAAATTTAGTAGCGCCATCTATTGTAATATAATACATTTCATAGGTAGTTTTAATTGCAGCCCCATAGTATGCAACACTTTTTGTCACGTTCTAGCTGGTTTATCTGAATGTCAGGTGCCACCCTGACTCCTTGGCGAATTTAGCCACCTATGATAAATAAATGCAAGTGCAGCGGCAGGATTGCCACATAATTCAAAGCTGACTGATGCGAGCATAAGCCGATGGTTATCGTGCTGAGTTTTATTTAAATGTGGAGCACGCATCGAAAGACTTAAGCAGAAAACTTGAATAGAAAACTTTAAATCCAGTAATTGACATTTATTAAACAACTAATTGACCCGAGAGTTCAGTTTATCAGGAATATAGCTTTTAATAGATTTCATGCAAATGGAGTGACTGTGTAAGATGGCGTTTTGAATTGAACGGAAACACATATATTTTTTCTTCGACTGCTTTTAACAGTCGCTTTGTAATTATGCAATTGGCTTTGGCCGTTTTGCATGTGTCCGACAATTGGCAAGCGGGACTGCAGCTGACTGACTGACCAACTGAATACGACTGAAGCCAAACAGTTGAAGATGAGTGTTATATACATGTGTGTGTTAGTGTTTGTATTTCTATTTTTAATTGCCAACGCCCCAATGAGTGTGCAAATACTTCAAAATCAAAGCCATATTAAATTTGCATGAATTAGAGCTCGCTTGGCTAAATGCCAAGTGAATGCTTTGAAGAATCCGCCTGACCGGAGAGAAAAAGAAAAAGAAGAAACAGGCAAAGTCTGGAACATTCAATTTCCTCGTTGGCCACATATACAACGTCATGGCCACATAGATTGCGCAATCGATTGCCAAACGGTCAACGAACGCAGCAAAGAACCAGTTTGATCAGCTGCAACTGAATGATGCCATGCTATAATCTGCTATGTCAAAGGTGCATTTCCGTTAGGCTTAAGGCGCCCGGGCATCTCGTGTCTGGCTGTCTTTCCAAAGAGGTGCGAGGCTCGTGCGAGTGTTTTATGCAAATGCCTCAAGGGGACTGTCCCCATAAAGTGGCTATAAGCTCATAATTCATGCAGTTAGGCTTTGTTATTGAATGAGACGTGATTCGAAATTTCTATGACAGTTGATTTGTGTGCGCCGGCAGGTTTGTGGCCGTTGTCTTTTATTGCCACAACGATTGGGGTCGCGATGGAATTGCATTCGCTTGACCTTGAGTCTGTTGCAGCTAAAGATAAAGCTAAAGCTAAAGCTAAAGCTAAGACTAAAGTGTTATAAGCGCAGCATCCAATGCAATCTCTTTGGCCTTTCAGGGAAGTTCAAGCTTTCAATCAATAGCAATTAAATAACAGTAAACTGGTCAGCCATAAAAGTGCAACGGCAAGCCACAACCACAACTAGATCGCGTTTGCCTTTGGTGCGTCTTGTCAACTGTGTGGAAGCGTAACAGGCGACAAAGTGGTTCGGTGCCTAAAAAAAATCGGCATTTGCTTATTTAGCTGGCCAAGCAGGAAGCCATGTGTCAATCGGAAGTAAAAGGTGCAGGCGCAATCGCAGTCTAAGGTGCAGGCAATAGGTGGCAAAGCCAAATACATTTAACTGGTTCATTGGCATGCACATATGGTAATGAAATGCGCCACTCCCACTGCCACTCCCACTCCCTTATTTAAGCTGTCGCCCTGAGTTATTTGACTGGCAAACGCCCACGCGGCAATTGGACAATCTCAGCAATCTGCAATCTGTTGGTCATTCAAATCAGGTGGAGTGCAGGAAGTGCATACCAAATGTTGCTCCAATTTCCCTGCCGGAACACCACGCAGACACAGCTACAGACACACCAGCTCTAACGCTTAAGCACTTAACACATTGACTGATTACTGCTATGATAAGACCAGCCTCTGGCCAATTGAAGTGCCTTGAATAAATATGAATACAATAATAATAATAGCAGCAATAACAATAAACAACAACAGTAACAACTACAGGAGCAGCAAAACCAAATTAAACTCAAATCGCCATCACACAATTTGAAGTCGAAAAGTAAAAGTGGCTCAACTGCTGGGGCTGCTGGCGTCGAGTTTTATTATCGTCATCATCGTCAACGTTATATGCGTTGCCTGCCATAACACCTCACATGGCTCACGCTGACTTTGACGCCGCAAAAGGAAGCCATGAATATGGCCAAGACTCGACACGTCTCGGCTCGGCTCGCAAGGAAGCCATGAGTCGAACTTCACTCTGGCATTGCCATGGGCAGCTCAGACTGCAGTCTATCTCGCTCTCTGGTGCCGCTATCTGCCCGTCGCATTACGCATTTCATTTGCACTGGGGTCCAGTTCCAGTTTCAGTTTCAGTTTTGCTGTCTGCGGCTTTTGGCTACTTCCTGAAACGCATGCTGCAGGGAGTCCAGACGCGGCTGCATTTATCTAACTGCAATGAATATTAATATGAGTTTAGTCTGCGTTTGGTGTGATGCAGCACTTCCTTATGGAGCAGCTGGCTAATGAAGATTTAAAGTTCCCTTACTACTAAAACTAAATCAATATTATATTTGTGCCATATATAAACCATTTATGAATTGCAAATCTCTTTTGTCTGTAGGAAACTTTTCAGCATTTAATTAATATTTTGTGCACAGTTTGATTGATTGTACTACTGCCTATTATTTTGCACTTCGCACAATTTCTACCTTGTTATGCAATGTATTGATTTAAGTTGTGGACCACGGGCTGCCCACTAAGCAACGGAAACACGCATGCGAAACGTGGAACTCGGACGCAGTCTCTGCCCATGCATCAGAAACGAGGCGAATAATTTTTTTCTCTTTTATTATTGTTATATTTTTTGTGTGTGTTTTAAACTAAATCAACATGCAATTAACTTGGCTTTTGGATATGTAGCGAACCATTTAAAGAGCGTCGAGCTTTTCAAATGGAATTCCGCATGTTTTTGAGTTCGAGGCAAAAGATGCAGGAAATAAAAGCGCCATCTGGCGGAATTCATCGCTGGTTGTTTGCCAAGCATTGCCACATTGTTGCACATGCAAAAATGCACACACTGTGGACATTGCACATACCTTTTGTTGTTGTTGCTATTTTGTTTAGATACCTATTTGTCCATTTGGCACGCAGCGCCAGCGCCATCGCCTGCCCTTAACCGAGTTAGAGTCCAAGTATGGCTTATAAATTACATTAAAATCTACTAATTGATGCCCTGCGCGGTTGGTTCGGGACTCCGAGCCAGGTGCGCCTCACGAACGTGACGGCCTTCGTAACATTATTATTGAAGAAGAATTTCCAAGAGCCAGCAACAAATATTAAACGCATTACAAAAACCCCAAGCTAGCCTAACCAAAGATACACGCAACGTTGCCTTACAGTTTGTTTTCGTTGATTTCCCATTTCGTGCTATTAATTTGCATTGCCTCAATGTTGTTGTTGTTATTTTTGACTTTTGTTTTTTATTAAGATTTATAACATTTATTGCAATAAGCTTGGCTTGTCGATTACAACATTTGGAGCAGCAAAGTCTCTGTCTCGGTCTCCGTCTGTCTTTCAGTCTCCCTCGTCTATACATGCTGCTCTGCTCTGCTTGTCACGTCGACGCGTCTCAGCACAAACAAATGCGAATGCGCAGCACAAAAGGCAAGAGCAAAATGCCGGCCTACGCGCGCGTGCTCTCTTTCTCTTTCTGACACTCTCACTCTCTTGCAAGTTTAGCTACGCTGAGCTTTAGGTAAGCAGCTGAAAAGCTCGCTGTGTCATTGTTTACACACAAAACCGTTATCAGAATTCAAGGTCTTCGGTTTCCGCAGGCGCCTCGCGCTCTCGTTTCTCATTTCAGCTCTCGCTCTCATTTTCCGTTTCAGTTTCGTTTTCTCTAGGCGCCGGCTGCACCTGCGCTTCGTCTATTTAACCTGGCTCCCCAATCTTCAGTGCGTCAGTCACATCCACGAAAGTGGCCCAAAGAGTTGCGCGCGTTGCCCACTAAAGCGAGTGGAGCCTCCACACTATCCCCCAATACTTGTTTGTGCCCAAGTGAATAAGTGTTAAATTTTCGGTCGAGGGCTCTTTAAACCCCCAGCCAGCGTTAAGCGGGAGCCATGAGGATCCAGCGGCATTTTGTGGTAATTACCAAATGTGTCACAAAAGTGCAAGAAAAACAGACAGATAGTGCGAACTGCTGCATGTGTTGTTGTAATTGTTATCTTGGTCATGGCAGCCAAGCGGAACTAATGGAATATAATTTTGTCAGTTTAATGCAGTTTCCCAAATAGATTGCGAACAATTTGTTTACGAAAGTGCGAGAAGATTGGCCAAACAAGAGCAGACAGACAGACACCTATAAGAAAACTATTATTCAGATATGCTTCACATATCAGCGAAGCCAAAGTGTGCTTGGAGCGTGTCTGGAGTATGGGAAATTGTCTGAGCTCAAAAGCCATATATGAATATATAATGAATGCATCCATAATAGATCAATTTTAAACAAATTAAGAATTGGAAAAATACTTGGGATAGTTAGTAGGCCATATTTTAAATAGTTAATTATTTTAAGCTATTCGATTTTGAGTAAAATTGAAAGTGGAAAGTCGCTAGACATCATATGTGCCATATTATATATAGATTTATCATTATTTTGATTGATTAGTGCTCAATTAATTATATATATGAATATTTGTTTTCGGCTCAATTTAACTAGTTACAAGAACAAGCTATTCATGTAAAATATATTTATAGAGAAATGAAAAAGCATTCTTTTCCCTTTTGTCATATTCACTGAAAGGCGTGTTTCGCTTATTTTCATTAGCGATTTTCCAGCTCTCTTTTTTTGTCAGCTACTGTCACCTGGCTATAGCACGACATTTGCCTATTTAAGGCCCCCACCGGTTTCCCCCGGTTCCACACTCTTAATCTCCATCTGTTTTTGGGGCCTTTCAATCGCATTGTCAACAATTAAAAGCGCACAAATATGCTGGCCGCGAGATAGTTTCATTAGCGCTTGCCCATGAAATGCATTTGAAGTTAGACTGACTCTTTTCCCTCACGATCGATGATCCAATGGCGGTTGGCCTAACCACTCGGCCCCCCTCAAGAGACGACAGACGACTTTCACTGCTGGCTTACCGCGGAAACTGCGACGTACTCCCAGCAGCAAAGAGCCACTGCAATAGCAACAGCAGCCGCAATTAGCACCCTCCAGTCCAAGCAATGAGATAATTTTTTTGCTGGCGCTAATTTAGATTTCATAATCGAATCGAAGTTGACATTCGTGCGCAAATTGATTGGGATTATGTGAATTGAAGTTTGAGTGATTTGGTCGATTATGTAGAAATACCCAAGTCAAAGACGACAGCAAATTGACGCCAAATGCTTTGACCTCGTCAGCAGCTGCAACACCATACCAAATTTGGAGCCTTAAACTTGCAACAGAGGCCACGCCAACACCAACGCAAACGGAGACAGCTCCAAAAGCGGCAATTATTTGCATAATGGCAAAAAACGTAAATAGTTTTTGGCTCTGCCTTATAGAGATAGAGCCAAAGCCCTAAATTAAGCAGAGCACACAGCAGAGGCTTTGACCTGAAACCGGGTTAGACTTTATCATCTCTAACTGACATATTTATTTAGCCAACCAAAATATTAAAAATACTGACGTAATATTTCACTGTTACTTGTCCCGGAGTCGCAGTCAACGGACTCTCAGTGCAAACAATGCGAATAATATTAAAAGACGAAAGGCAAAACATCGAAATAAAACAGAATGGGATGAACTGAGTCGTCAGCTCACTGACCCAGTTAAAACTGGTTGTTGCCGTGCCTTAATGCTTCACATGAAGAATATTTAATTAATTACCATAATCGTTGCGAATTCGTTTTGATCCCTAGACGGTCGCGTTCGTTGCCTAAGTCTTTTGTATTTGTTGTACGTTGACTAATAGTAATAATGATGACGAATGTATGTTTATTTTCCGCGGCTCACTCACAGTTGGGTTTGCTCGGCGTGCTCTCTGTTGCCAGCAGAGCTATCCATGCCAAAGCTGTCGGCGATCAAAAGACAGCCGAGTCCCAGGCGAGCAGCAAGAGCGTCGCTCAGCAGCGTATCGGCGATGGCTTCGGCCTGGGCCTCGACCTCGGCATTGGCGAGGAGCACATACACGAGCACCACGAGCACCATGAACACCATGAACATCACGATCCCGGCTATTGGAAGAAGAAGGTCACGTGGAAGGAGGGCTGGAAGAAGATATGGAATCCAGCCAAGAAGCAAATCTGGAATCCATCGTGGAAAAAGGTGAGTGAAAGCGGTTATCAAAGAAGTTCCAGAGACTAACTCTAATCGAATTCTATTGCAGATCTATAAGCCGCATTGGGTGAAGGTTCCAGGGTGGAAAGACATTCAAGTGCCCGCTTGGAAACAAATATGGGTGCCGCATTGGAAGGAGATTTTGGTACCTGCCTGGAAGGATATTCAGGTGCCCGACTGGAAACAGTATTGGACACCAGAGCTAGTCAAGGTAAATCTTAGTCCCATTTCACTCCCTACATTATTATATAAGAATCTACACGTTTCTGTAGGTTGGCATTCCTGGCGAGAAATACTTGGGCAAGGATCATGAGGGCTGGGAGTACACCAGTCACGATCTGTGGAAGAAGAAAGTCGTGTGGAAGTCACACTGGAAAAAGATCTGGAAGCCAGCCAAGAAACAAATTTGGGTGCCAGAAAAGAAACTGGAATGGAAGGAGGCATGGAAGCAGTACTGGAAACCAGCCAAGAAACAAATCTGGACTGACAAACTGGAGTGGAAGGAGGCATGGAAACAAATCTGGGTGCCCGGCTGGAAGGAGATTTGGGTGCCTGGCTGGAAGAAAATCTGGAAGCCCGTCGTCATATCCGAATGGTTCCCTACGCCCGATCATCATCACGAGCATCACCATGACGTTGGCTGGGATTGGGATCGCAAGGACAAAGCGGCCACCAGTGAAAAGGACAAAGTCGTATGGAAGCGCGATGACAGCAATGCGTCAGGCGCAAAGCCAACGCAACTGAAGCCAGTGGCCAGCGCTGACTTTCAAGCCAAGACGCTTGAGGCAGCCAAATCGCCAATTGCCGCGGCCGCACCTGCCGGCGCAACAGCGCAGTCATTCAAGTTTCCGGGCGCGTAATATATGAGTGCACATACATACATATATACATACATATACATACAAACATACATATGTACCATACCCGCCCAGTTCCGAGCTCCTTGTAAATAGTTACAAACCAGTCGCTAGCATGTAAGGCCCACTTTTGCTCTGGCGTACACTTAAATTATGTCTTAGACTTAAAGAGCGTTTAATTAACAAGTAAATAAATAAATAAACCTAATGCCTAATAGTTGATCAGTCTTGTCTTGAGTCTAGGAGTAGTCATGTTTGCCTTTTTTATCCTTCCAGGCGTCGGGCGCCGGCGCGTTGGGCAGCGGTATCCATTCCTTGAGTATGGTCGGTGTCCAGACCTTCTTCCACACAGGCTCGTAAATGCGCTTGGCCCGCCAGTACTTCACCCACCGTGCATTCCAAGTGGTTCGATTCGTCCAGAAGCCATCCAACTGCGGCTCCACTGTGTCCGTATGACGTACTCTACAATCGGCAAACAGGAAGCGGGTTGCAGTAGAGTGAAAGTCGTTTTGGACAAGCTATTGCACAACATCCTCTCAACACACTTACATGGTCGTCGTCTGGCCGCCCACCGTCGAATCAATAGAGATGAGGACGACGAGGAGCAGCGGAACAGCAATAAGACAAATCCGCCCACACTTCCGCCTGCATTGCCCTGTCGTCGTCACCATCCTGTCAGCTGTCTGACACCTGTGCCTGTTCACTCGGCTGTCTCCCATTGTGGATCCATTCATGTTTCGCAATCGACTGACACTTTCATAGACTTTTCTCGCAAAGTTAAATAGCTCTCGAGACCTATTGAAATTCATGAAGCGCACGCGCTCGCGCATGTTTTAATGAATTGCAAATTCGCGTAGTTTACACGAGTTGCGCGTGAAAATTGTTATAAAAAACGTACGAGATTATATAATACGCACATTAAAGAGCATTAGTTTCGGATAGTTTGTTTGTTTTTTAATCGACTTTTTTTTTGCTGCATTTCTTTCTATGCTTAAGGTAAAATATGCAAATCAAATGTGAGTGTAGGTGTGACAAAGCTTAAATAGCTAAATGTGTGTGTGTATAATATATATATCTATATCTAACAGATGTATCGTAAAGTAACTGTTACCCATAGTGAACATAATTTCGATTGAAGCTCTATTGTCTAGAGAGAACATGCAACATATAAAACTATATAGCTAAGCTTAGACATAACTTAGGACCTAAGACATGCAGCACATATACATAAATATATATGTGCATGCATATACATATATAGACAGATAAATTTTGATAGCAATTATTTCATACAATCCATTTAAAGCCTATGTTTACCGTTTCGAGTATGCGTTAAATAGTTTAATTCTCGGTTCTTTGTTACAAAGTAGCTAAGCACTATTTAGCAATTAATTAACTAATTAATTAACATATATATATTTAGAAGGCGGTACAAATGTTGTTTGCATAAAGTGCAGCAGTTAGTTTTTGATTGATCTATATGTATATATATATATTGTGTTTTGTAAACTATTCTTGAGTTAAAAATTAATATGGCACAATTACGCGCATAAAAAAACTTAAATGTCGTACATGGTGATAATGATGATTTGTTTTTTGTTTTTGTTTCATTTACAGCTAATTACAAGATACAAAGAAATAACATTTAAGTCACACAGAAAAGCATTCGAGATAGTGGGCCAAGCCAGAGTCACAGCTCGCAGCATGTTGAGAAATCGGCTAATGAGACGAGATATAACCAATAGTTAAAGTCAGCTCTGACTTAGACAAAATATATTTCATATATCTTTTGCATGTCGAGTGTGTGAGTGTGTGTTTGAGTGTGTTTCATCGGCTTCAGCTTTAGCTTCATCTTTATCTTTATCTTTATCGTCATCTTCATCTTGTTTATCTTGTTCTCTGCTAGTCTGTCAGTCTTTTGAAATACCATTTGAAATCGTTTCGCTTACGAATTACAATTTGTTCGTTAGTTTTGTTGTTCTGTTTGTCGTTGTTATTGTTGTTTGTTTGTTTGTTTGTTCGCTTTTTGTTTTGGTTTGTTTTTGGTTAACAAGCAGAGAGCTGCAGGAATGTTCTATGTTGTGTGTTGTCTCGTGTCGTTTTGGGTGATACAATGAAGAGCTAATTAAAACTAATTGTTGAGTACATCATAAATATCTCGTTGGCCCTCTCACTCGAAGGACATCAGGTTGGCGGGCAGTGGCTTTGGCACACGTGTCGACGCCAGCTTGCAAATGGCGTTCGTCCACAGGTGCGTCATCTGTGGACTGTCCGCGCGAAACTTGTAAACGGTGCCCAGGGTGCGGTGGTACAGCTCAAATGAATTCTTATGCTTCGTATTGTCGATGACGTGCGCACTCCAGCCCTCCAGCGGACACACCTTGCATGGCTCGCGCTTGAAGTCACCGCGCTCGCTGCCCTTGAACGACTTGGGCGGGAAGTAGACAAGCGAATTGGCCCATATCTGCACCCAATATCGCTGCCATGATGCAACAGCGGGCTTTCGACCCTCCTTCTGCACCGTCTTGCGACGCAGGCAGCCCTGCATGGCGGCCGCTGCCTCGGGCGACATCAGATCACAGTTGCTGCCCGTTAAGTCGCCCAGGATGCCCTCGGCGCTCTCCAGAGAGGTCAAGTCGGCATTGGACAGAGCATCGCTGTGCTCCAGCACAGAGTCGTCGAGCAGATGATGACGCGGCGGCCCAGAGCCAATCAGGTCGTGTTCCAGATGCAAGTGGTGCGGATGTCCATCGTAATTGTTTTGCGTTATTTTGCCAAAGATGCTGCGAAAGCACAGATGAAAATCAGTTTGATTGTTGTTGTTGTGGGTGATGGAACGGCACGCCTTAGTAATACATGTGTTTATTCACAAAGGAGGCGTCATGCAGACAAGCGTTCAAATGGGCTCAAACTAAACACAATGTAAGCAACTAACAGCGCGTTTGTGTTTGTGTGTATGTGTATGTGTGGATGTGTGTATAAGACAGTGGGTGTACTTGTATGTGGCTGATCGATGATCATATGTGGCAAAGATGAGCTGATGAAACTGAAATCATTTGGCTAAATTCAAACAGCTAATTTACACCCAAAGCAAAACGTGTGTGTGAGTGAGCGTGTCATCTGTGTGTTGTTTTTACCCCTGCAGAGATCATTTATGAACGATTCAATGAAGCTCTCTCTTATACATATGTATATCAAAACCCCTTTGTTTCATATTTGAAAAAGTTGTCAAAAGTAGAGAGAGAGATGCTATAAAGAGAGATGTATAATTCAATATATAATAAAAACGTTTTGTTGTATTCATTTTAGCCTTCCTTACTTCTAATATCTAGCTATATAACATAGTACTATTGAGAATAAACAGATTACAACTTTTATATGGCAATTACTTCATATTTTCATGATATTTTAACTAAACTTACAAATCAAACTCTTTAATCAGTTAAATTAAGCTTATCTACATTACATTTCCTCTCACAATTTACTGATAAAAATATCTGCAGGTGCAAATAATTTTCGGCAATCCGAAATTTAGTTTGCATATCTTGTACTCAAGTGTTTGTTTGATGATGGGTCGTTTGTTTGTATGTAAGCATTTTAAGTTGGGTCCGTGCACACAAACTGATGGAAATCAGGATTAGAAAATGAATAGAAAGTGTTGAAATACATAACCTAGCTAGCCTATAGGCTACGTTCGCTACGTAGGCACTCACCGGCGGCATCTGCAACGCTTGTTGGAGATTGTGCCAATGCCCGGCGCAATCATTACAATGCAGCACTGACACCTTTGTGCAAAGTTGCGCGGCAGGCTGCTGCTGCGAAATCTAATTGCAGTTGCAGTTGCAGTTGCAGTTACAAACAAGGCACAGATACAAAGATACAGAACGAAAGCGAAAAGCAAAAAGCATAAGTGGACATGTACAAGAGACAATCAATTCATAACAATAACAATATTAAGAGTAAAGAAATGTTCACAGAGTAAAATGTTAACGTTTGTTTGGCACCCCCAACGGTCAGTCCAATTGCACAGTGAAGAGTTTTGTGTTGAGTGATGTTTTAAACGAAATAGAAAGTTTGATTTGTTTTTGATTTTGATTTCTTTTTTTCATTGGGACGAAACACGAAACACAAAAGTGTTTTAATTGGCAGTTAGAATATGCGCGCGAAGATATTTGAATGCTGAGAATTGATGTGGAGTGGCTAACTTACTTGGTGCCCAGGCTGCGGCACTTTCGATGGCCCGGCACAAACTTTGTCCCACTGGCCATGCGCATGGAGCCGATGGTCTTGGCAGGCGAGAGATTTAAGCAGCCGAGAGCTGGCGTCACCGATTCCACATTGAATGATTCCTTCGAGCTGCACGATGACGAACTGGGCCCAGAGGGCGAGGCGGGTTCCAGATTCAACGAACGTCTGTTTGAATCAATTTACAAAGTTAGTTTATCAATTTATATTGACTTATTTAAAGTGATTCCAATTACTTGTACTGATCCTCCTCGAATATGTTTTGCAGCTCTTCAATGTAGCGTATGGAAGTGAGATATTTCTGCGTGGACTCATGCGGCTGTATGTGCTGGTAGTTAGATTGCTGATAGTTCGAGATGACGCGCAGTATATTGTTCATCTTATTGCGCCGCTGCTCTGGCTCAAGGCCTCCCTTATGCGGATGCGCCAGGTCGATGTAAATCAAGTCTGTCAGAAAGAGACCCAAATAGGGTATGCAAGGCAGACGTAGACTCTCCAAATACGAGCGCAAATTAGCCCAGTTATTCTGATCGCTGAATATATCGCTCAGGCGCTCGAAAGACTGCCGATCCTTCTTGGACAGGCAGGCCCAGGTCTTTTTCAGGCGATAAATGCTGGCGCTTTGCATGGCCGAGATGATGGCGAACAGCGAATGCAGGTTGTTCAGTTCGTGCAGTTTCTTGGCCACCTGTAAGATAATTTGATTAATATATAATGCACTTATGATATATAGGAGATATGTTCCACCTTGATGAAGTGTGTCATGATCTCAGCACGCTGCTTGGGCTGTTCGGCATTGAGTATCTCCTGCACTGTCCAGAAGCTGGTGTGATTAAAGCGCTTGGTAAACGCCACAATATTGGGCGTAACCACATGCTTGTCCTTTTTGGTCCACGCACAGCTGCTCAGCTCATCCGGTTGTATCAGCGCAAAGACGGGAAAGTCAAGCAGCGTTATCTGATTGGCCAACACATCGGCGGGTACACGCAATGCACTGAGAATGACTGCATCCAGCTGCTTAATGGAGCCATGCGCTGGCAAACTCTGTGATTTGTTTGCTGGCGCGGCGGTTGTACTGCAAACGAGAAGAGAAATTGCATTAACTCTGCTATACATTTATTGAATTTAATTCAATTAGCTGGGTGCTCTTACGCTATGCTGTAGTAACAACCGGGCGAGTCTGGCGACGAGCTAAAGCTGGTCAAGCAGCCGATGGAGTTCTTGCGACGTGTGCTCTTGATGTTCAATGTTTTGCTGGCTGGCTGCTGTGCCTGCGCCTGCTCTGCCTGCAGTTCCTTTGGCCCTTTGTCCTGACGCAAACAGGCCATGGTGTGTGCATTGCCATTGGAGTTGCGCTGCTTCGGCTGCCTCAAATGTTGTGGCGATGCCTGCGCCTGACAACGTGTCTGTGTGGGCGAAGCCGTAACAAAAGTTTGCCCTCCATAGCTCATATAGTCCGCTGCGGGTTTTCTGCCGATCTGAATGTGGGTGTATCAAACAGAGGTATGAATAAAGGTTGTGTGGGGAACAGAAAGAGCGGACTTACCTCTGAGTAGCGCAGATTATCCGTGGTGAGGTCGCGCGATATTTCCGAATAGCGCATCATGGCAAATGTCTGTGGTCAACCACTTGTCTACTAAGCTGTAAGTAAATAACAAATAATAAATATTTCTATTATAATGGGTATTGCTTCAACTCTTTATATGCTAGTACTTCGGTTTAAAGTTTAGTCTATGCTCTGGCTTTAGCACCGTGCGGCGGGCAGCCTTTATGTTTACTGAACACAATTTTCTGCTGCGGCTGCAGCAAAAGCCACAATGCAGAACAACAATAACAAGATACCATAATGAAACAACAACAACAACAACAGCCACCAACAATAATAACAACAACAGGAACGGCAACAAATGGTGGTGAGGCGTGTGGCACGCTTCGCTGCTCGATTTCCACAGCAGCGAACAGACTGAGTCACGCGGCAAGCGGCACGAAGAGAGACCTGGATCTGGTCTTTTATGGCAGCAGCGGCTACTGTTGTAGCTGTCGATTGGCTTTTTTTCTTCTTTTTTCAGATATTTTTGGGGGGTGCCAATGCAACAACACCAGCAACGGCAGCAACAACAACATGCGCCACTAATGATATGCACATAGTCAGCGGAAAGGTTTTTAGTGGATAAATGAAAACAAGTCACCAAAACGGTCAATGAACCCTTCCATAGAATGCACCAAAGAGAAAACCTACGGATGCCCCAAATTATATATAATATATATATACACATATAGACAATAAAACAAGTAGGTGTGGCGCAGTGTGCCCCAAGCAGAGACCCAGCAGCAGGTATGAAGAATCAGTCAAAAGGAAATCGAGTTCTATTTGTCGCTTTATATAAACAAATTCCACTATGACCGAACGTAAAGAGATATGTATCAAAATTCTCTTCTTTGCACTCTATTACAAGTAAAAAGTGAGCAACTTTTTATTTTCTCAATTGAAAAAATACCTTTCCATTTGGTTTATTTCATGAGCACAACGGTATATACACGCTATTAGAGCGTTTCTCTATATAATATGTAGACACTATGAGAGGTAGGTGTCGATGTACGCAACAAGTAGATACCCTGGATAACATTTGCATACACAAAAACCCAAAAATATATTGGTAATTTGCTTATGGCTCCTCATAACAATACCACTCTGTGGGTATATAGGGTTTAAGAGCACCACCGTCTATCCTTTATTCTATTTACGCACTCGCTTATTAAATAACCTCCATGGCGCACTCATTACTGTGAGAGCTATAATAACAAGACACATGCGATTATGTATATATATATCTACTTATACATATAGAAAGCTATATGGTATATAGATATACATAGATATATATATATACGTGCTGATGCCACACATTTCTCAAAGACTGTCTGACGGCGACCCCGTCTAATTAATTTCAATTAAGTCATAATCATTCCACACAGCAAATACAATGACGTTTCGATTCGATTGGTCTGCGTGGCGCAGGCCAGCAAAGACATACTCTATACATATATAGGAGTGTGAATCAAATTCGCAAATGGCGAGCCGATAGTTAGGTGTACCTATAACTCATGTGACTCTTATCGATTAGAGGCCCACAGAAATCGACGAGAAACAATTTATTTATTTGTTCAAGCTTCCAAAGAAATTTCGGATAAACAAGTAAGTTTGTTGATGTGTGAGGTATATTTATATATACATATATATTTCTATTAAATGGTCAGCATTATGATAGAAAGTTTTCATAAACAACTCCGATGTAGGCTAAGTCAATTATTGTAGTCCACAGCTATATCAATATATATCACTGACGAGTACTTTTTTCTGTAGGAATCAAACTTTCTATGCAATTTAAACAAGAGTTCATAAAAAATGTAATTTCGAAAACATGGCAATATATTAACACAAAACAAGGAAGAAAGCTCTAGTCGAGACTGCTCGACTACGAGATCCCCTGAACCCTACAAG